ACCACCTAGGGATGCTTCCAGTCAAATATGGTTGATATCCACTTCTTAGTTCCAGAGAAGAAGTCGCTTAAAGCAATATGAGCAAATTGCCCCCTTTTGGCCCCGCCCCTAAGCCCCCTGGGGAGTCAGCCCCACCATTTGTACAATTTTTAATCACCACCACCTAGGGATGCTTCCAATCAAATATGGTTGATATCAACGTCTTAGTTCCAGAGAAGTCGCTTAAAGCAATATGAGCAAATTGTCCCCTTTTGGACCCGCCCCTCAGCCCCCTGGGAGGTCAGCCCCATTATTTGTACAATTTTGAATCCCCAACACCTAGGGATGCTTCCAGTCAAATTTAGTTTAATTCCAACCAGTGGTTAAGAAGAAGTCGTTTAAAGAAATTGTTGACGTACGGACGTACGACGGACGCCACGGTATGGCATAAGCTCACCTTGGTCCTTCGGACCAGGTGAGCTAATAAAAGATATGCCCCGGACAAACGTTTTCAAAAGTGAAGGTCAAAGATCATGTCATAGGTCATGGTGACCTAATCCTTGCACTCTGCCATCCCAAGATGTCTTTGTACACCAAACCTGGTTAATCCAGGTAGAATAGTATAGAAGATATGTCCCGGACAAACTTCTTTGACGGAAGGACGGAGGGAGTGCAAACCTCTAGTCCCCCCCAGGGAATCTGTGGAAGACTAATAAAATACTATTCAGAACATTCACAACACCCATACATTCGTTTTCCACATGCTGTTTGAATTTGTCTACAGTACGTTCCTGAATGTCTACCCACTCAATTGTGGCTTGTCAGGGGAAGTACCAACCTGTGCCTGGGTATCCTGACTAGTTGTGTCGGAAGTCATCAGAAAGTCCAGTCCAACCTCGTCCTCTTTATTGTCTGCATTTTCTTCATTATCCTCCTCTCCTTCTTCTGCAAATAGCAAATATTTCTATGAAATATCTCAGCGACATTTTTATTTACAACAATATTTGTGCGGCTATTTTTTTTGTAATTAATGAAATAACACAAGATAGATAAGTACCAATTTAATACTGAAATTAGCCGAAACAAGACGTTCAATTCAAAGTAGTAGGGAGAAACATTGCAGTCATTTAATTATATATGTGTTTCAAAAGCATGATGCCTTGGAAAATTTATTAAAGCAGAAGTTCTTTTCAAAATTAAAGCAAGTGAGGACCACCTACCTTCAGACTCCTCCTCCTCCTCTTCACTATCCTCTTCATCCTCATCATCGCTGTCATCTTCAGTTCCTGATTCACTCTCTGGTAGTTCAAAATCACTGTCATATGCTCCTGCATACTTCTTGTAAAGTTCATCCATGTTCATATCACCTGTGTGAAACAATACCATTTCATTGTTAACCAGCATAAGGTGACAGTACCCAAATCGAATCACCAAACCATCATTTTATTAAATCATTGAAATATCTGAGGAGAAATTATATTCATTTATTATTGTATCAAAAATAGAATATCGATGGGTGTTCTCACAAACGAAATTAGCACCCGGGGCTCACTCGAGATATTTATAGAACGCTCTGAAGTCACCAATCAGCGTCTCCTGTTTTTGCGAATGTCGGGACACAAATCGGATCACGACTTGAATTTTGCAGTATCGTACGCTTTAAATGAATAATTTTTTGTCAGCATATTAACATTTTATGATGACCTTTAGAATTTATGACAAAAAGTATTTCTATAGTGTGAATTTATTCCTATAGTCTAAAACAGAGTACATAGTCGTCGCACGCGCCATTTTTTAAAAACGTATTCAAAACATTGACATTCGAGTTAAAATTATGTTTTCTTGCGCTATTTGAACTTAAAAACTAATTATCTGTAGTCAAAAATGGTGCATGGCTATCTATTCTAAGACTACATCATTGTTATAACTGATTTGTTGACATTTATTTATTTATAAACATTTTTGCAAAAAGTGATCCGATTTGGGTACCGATCCGATTTGGGTACTGCCACCTTAGGTTATGGTTTCAGAAATGTTTGATTCAGATTCGAGTGAAGTAACTTACAGACTTCAAATTAATTCAAACTGTGTTTATAGTTCCTGCTTGATCCATCAAACTGTTTGTTAAATATGCAAGATTTGTAACTATCAAAGAACTCTATTTTATGACTTCCAGAATTATTCTGGGTTTTTTCTTCCCTAAAATACAACTCGAGCAGTTCATGGAAAAGGAAAGATGACAATTAACTTGAAATAACTTCCTAAAACATGGATTGCCCTCATTTCCCTAAGTGTTCATCTAGTCCTTCAAAACTATATACACAAGAGACTGACCTTCATTCTGCAGATCTGCCAGTTCCTTGCTATAGTCAACTTTCTTGTCTAGTTTTTCCTGTTCCTCAATCGTTTCCTCCACGTCCACCTCTTCTTCTTCACTTGCAGCAAATTCATCATCCTATCAACAAGCATGAGTCGGTGAAAAGAAGTACCAAGCATGTTTTTGCAATTGGATTATTCCAAGTGTTGGTCATAGCAACATTTTGAGATCTTATTTTCTCCGATATTGAAATAGCCCCACACCATACCATCAAGTATGATGGCCAAGAAAACTGTTTCCTACAACAGGTAGTTTTAATTGCACTAGTAGCAATTAAAGTGTTTTAAGTAGGAATTTATCTCCCTGGCATTATATTCTCTTGGTGAGCATGTTGAAGTTTAACAAGAGTTGTAAGCTCAGGGTTTTAGAGTATTTTGTTTCCCATGTTTTAATCAATGTTTTTCCTTGTTTAAATCAACATTTTATGGGCATTGCTAGACATAAGCATTTTAGAGACTGTTAATCTAATATTTGAGGTCTTGTTTTCTCTCTTGATACATGTATTGAAATAGCCTTATACCATACCATCAAGTATGATGGCTTCGTTATCAAGAAAACTGTTTCCTACAACAGGTAGTTTTAATTGCACTAGTAGCAATTAAAGTGTTTTAAGTAGGAATTTATCTCCCTGGCATTATATTCTCTCGGTGAGCATGTTGGAAGTTTACCAAGAGTTGTGAGCTCAGGGTAAAGTATATTGTTTTCCATGTTTTAATGTTTTCCTTGTTTAAATCTATATTTTATGGGCACTGCTAGACATAAGCATTTTAGAGACTGTTAATCTAACTTTTGAGGTCTTGTTTTATCTCTTGATACATGTATTGAAAGAGCCTTACACCATACCATAAAGTATGATGGCTTCGTTATCACGAACACTGTTTCCTACAACAGGTAGTTTTAATTGCACTAGTAGCACTTAAAGTGTTTTAAGTAGGAATTTATCCCCCTGGCATTATATTCTCTTGGTGAGCAAGTTGAAGTTTACCAAGAGTTGTGAGCTCAGGGTAAAGTATATTGTTTTCCATGTTTTAATGTTTTCCTTGTTTAAATCTATATTTTATGGGCATTGCTAGACATAAGCATTTTAGAGACTGTTAATCTAACTTTTGAGGTCTTGTTTTATCTCTTGATACATGTATTGAAATAGCCTTACACCATACCATCAAGTATGATGGCTTCGTTATCAAGAAAACTGTCTCCTACAACAGGTAGTTTTAATTGCACTAGTAGCAATTAAAGTGTTTTAAGTAGGAATTCATCTCCCTGGCATTATATTCTCTCTGTGAGCATGTTGGAAGTTTACCAAGAGTTGTGAGCTCAGGGCAAAGTATATTGTTTTCCATGTTTTAATGTTTTCCTTGTTTAAAACTATATTTTATGGGCATTGCTAGACATAAGCATTTTAGAGACTGTTAATCTAACATTTGAGGTCTTGTTTTCTCTCTTGATACATGTATTGAAATAGCCTTACACCATACCACCAAGTATGATGGCTTCGTTATCAAGAAAACTGTTTCCTACCACAGGTAGTTTTAATTGCACTAGTAGCAATTAAAGTGTTTTAAGTAGGAATTCATCTCCCTGGCATTATATTCTCTTGGTGAGCAAGTTGAAGTTTACCAAGAGTTGTGAGCTCAGGGTAAAGTATATTGTTTTCCATGTTTTAATGTTTTCCTTGTTTAAATCTATATTTTATGGGCATTGCTAGACATAAGCATTTTAGAGTCTGTTAATCTAATATTTGAGGTCTTGTTTTCTCTCTTGATACATGTATTGAAAGAGCCTTACACCATACCATAAAGTATGATGGCTTCGTTATCACGAACACTGTTTCCTACAACAGGTAGTTTTAATTGCACTAGTAGCAATTAAAGTGTTTTAAGCAGGAATTCATCTCCCTGGCATTATATTCTCTTGGTGAGCAAGCTGAAGTTTACCAAGAGTTGTGAGCTCAGGGTTTTAGGAATTTATCTCCCTGGCATTATATTCTCTCTGTGAGCATGTTGGAAGTTTACCAAGAGTTGTGAGCTCAGGGTTTTAGGAATTTATCTCCCTGGCATTATATTCTCTTGGTGAGCAAGTTGAAGTTTACCAAGAGTTGTGAGCTCAGGGTTTTAGAGTATTTTTGTTTTTATGGTTCAATCAATATTTTTTTCATTGTTTTCATCTATGTTCTTTAAGTCTTGTTAGGCATTTAGCACTTTTAAGTTAAAAACCTTCAGTTAATGCCACTTTAAAATATCTGACATGATATATGATTATACAACTAGTGTTTGTAAATTTGACATTTACTCAGGGATACTGGTGTTTAACTATTCTCATTACTAAATCTAAGCAAGCGTACACTATACACCAAGACCCTTGCTGGGTCCCCCCCCCTCAATATCTACAAATGTTAAAGCTTTGTAGGTCAAAAGCCTACAACTTTAAATTTGAAAATTTTCCTTCTTTTCCATTAAGCATTAATTTTTCATAATTTGCCAGAACATCAAAAGTTTGGGTAAGTTAAATTCAGGGATTTATCACATACCTGTTCAATCTTGTTATAGAAATACAAGCAATTTTCAGACCATGAAATAACAAGAGGCCCATGGGTCACCCGAGTCCTACAGTATTTATTTTTGTACAAAATAGTTAAGTATAACGTTAACTTAAATTTGTCAGGACCACGAGCTGATCATTCCTAGACCGAGTTTCAGTTAAATCGGTCTATTAGAACTTGTTTTTAAGTTTAAAATACTTTTTTCAAAATGGCGGCCGTGGCAGCCATATTGATTTTCTGATCGACCCGAAAAATAACACTTTGTCAGGACCATGAGTCGATCATTCCTACAAAGTTTCAGTTCAATCGGCCCAGTAGAACTTGACTTTTCAAAATGGCGGCCGTGGCGGTCATATTGGATTTCTGATCGACCCGAAATATAACAACACTTTGTCAGGACCATGAGTCGATCATTCCTACCAAGTTTCAGTTCAATCGTCCCCGCAGAACTTGACTTTAAGTTTGAAATAGTTTTTCAAAATGGCGGCCGTGGTGGCCATATTGGATTTCTGATCGAACTGAAAAATAACGACACTTTGTCAGGACCATGAGTCGATCATTTCTACCAGGTTTCAGTTCAATTGGCCCCGCAGAACTTTACTTTGAGTTTGAAATAGTTTTTCAAAATGACGGCCGTGTCGGCCATATTGGATTTCTGATCGACCAGAAAAATAACAACACTGGTCAGGTAGTCTGAATTATTCTGACGTTTTATCGACTTTTTTCATATCGGTCTGTCGTCGATTAACGTCGGAACTCCAGCCCTCTATAATATGCGGGAAATATGCGACCCGTGCCCGGAGCGCACTTCAAACTGATATTTTAGAAACAAATCGTCACTTTCACACACATGTCGCACATGGATCGAAAGATCTATTCTTTATGCACTAGGTGGTATCAATAACATATTTCAAAGATCATTACGAAAAGTATTTTCCAACGTTTTCTATACCAACCCATGTTTTTTATGGAAATTAGGCCATGAGAAATGTCACATGACTTGACGAGATCTCGCGTTACCGAAGGTATTTCCAAACGTAATGACGTAGGCCGGCGAGATTTTAGTCAGGTGGCATTGGAAGGCGGTGCTATCAAAAAACTAGAGTAAAACAGAGCAAGTTTGAAAAAATATGTTTTTAGTGATTGTATTAGTTGTTTGAGGCATGTTATGTATGTCCACCTAGTGCATAAAGAATAGATCTTTCGATCCATGTGCGACATGTGTGTGAAAGTGACGATTTGTTTCTAAAATATCAGTTTGAAGTGCGCTCCGGGCGCGGGTCGCATATTTCCCGACGTTAGACCGATATGAAAAAAGTCGATAAAACGTCAGAATAATTCGGACTATTGGTCAGGGAGATGTCAGTAACCTTCCCATGAAATATTAATGAAATCCCTTTGCCAGTATTTCAGCTTAAGTTGAAAATATAAAATGTTAACGGACGACAACGGATAGCAATAGGTCATTTGAGCTAAAGCTCAGGTGACCTAAAAACGTTCTGTATTGCACATGTGCAATACGGAATTTATTTACCTACTAGCCGGAACTCCTTTTTATTGGAATCCCTTTGTCATGCATGGCAAACTGAAAAGTTCCCGGTATTTGCAAAAAGTTTATAAAATCTTTGTATCGATCTCTACCAAATACGGAAGGTATATGATAAAAGCAAGACCACACACTTGTGTTTTTCAAACGAATCAGAAAGCACTCATTTATTGCCCGGACGTATATCTTCACTCGCGCACTCGTGAATATATTCGTCCCCGCAGAAAACTTGTGCTTTCTGATTTGTTAGAAAAACACAAGTGTGTGGTCTTGCATATATATTCAATTATTACTAAATCTATTTCTTAAGTTTTCTTTTGATCATGAAACAGTTTTTTGGGTTATCTATCAGTGATAGGATAAGGTAGTTATATATCTGCTAAAATATAATAAGACTCGTTCATGCCCAGGGGTGAAGGATAGGAAAATTCCATCCAAGGGTTTTTCGAACTTTGCAAAACCATCAGCTTTCTTTGCCGAATTTCCCTATCCTACACCCTTTGGCATGAAAGAGTATTTTTCTCTCATTTCAACTACCAGAATAAGCTCAGAAACCATGAAAATGCGTTTTGACTGGCAACCCTTTTGAAAATATCAATTTTTCTTGTGAGCTTTGCAGATAAAAACAAATCTATCAACCAGATTTAGCATACCCCATATTTGCAAACAGAGTTTGCGCAGAAAATGTATAACATCTTTCTAAGGTAAAAAGGTAAATATATCGTAAAAAGTTTTAAATTTCATCATGTCACCTTTTTTCGCATTGCGGCATCGGAGATTTCCAAATTCGTCATTGTTGAGCCATTGTGACGTCGCATCACGTGAAATTGGGTGAAAGATAGAAATTTCCTACACCCCTTTCTTACCCTGGACAGCTCTATCTTACCCACACAGGGAAATGAGAGAAAATAGTTTGTTTACACTGAATCTATACAAGCAATAAACAAAGAACCTTTTTGTTGTTTCTGTTTCCTACTTCAGGTAAATTTGATTGCACCAGTAGCAATAAATGTGTTTTAAGAAGGAATTTATCTCCCCTGGATTGTTTTCTATCAATGAACATATTGTAGTTCACCAAGAGTTGTGAGCTCAGGGTTTTAAGAGTATTTTTCTTCATTCAATGCTTTCAATGTCTACACATGTAGCAACTTATTAGGTGAAAAACCTATAGCTAATTCCAATGCTTCAAATATAGCGTGACCTCTTCAGTCAAAACACTTAAGACCCAAACAAACAGTCGAGACTTGACCTATTTTTCTGGAATAGCAAAGTTCCCAACAAAAGTAAGTGTGTTCACCAGAATATTTTGAATTCAAGAAACATTCATTAAACAAGTTCGTTTATATACCATAGAATATCAGCAAAGGGAAAGCAACTTTTATCTGCAATTTTCCTAAACAATTCTAACTGGATTTTATTGCATTTTATGTAATATGCAAATATTCTGTAACTTTCTTGTTTGAAATGATTCAATCTCTCAAAAGTTATAATCATTAAATAAATGTCCTATGAGCAATCACTGGGAATAAAATAGGGAGTCAATGGGACCCGGATTATATCATACCTTTTCTTGTTTATCATGTTCATCATCTGCCTCGACCTCAGTGTCCTGAGTCAGACTGGCTGTCCCAGAAAGGACTTCCTGGGGAAGTGACTTAAGCAGCTCCTCTAAGGGAACCTCCCCTTCCTTCTGCAGGGCATCCAACTCTGCCTGGGTCGATGTCTAAAAACAATATATATACGACTATTAACAAATGGACAGGCAACTTTTTCCTGCAAATCCAAAAATAGCTATGCCCTATATTCTATGCAAATTGTTAGCCCCATTCTATATATGGTACAATGTACCCTTCAAAGAAAGCTGGAGACCTAGGGTGGGATAGATACTTCTCTGGAGACCAAATTTTCTTTCAGTACTTCATCTAGTATTTTTTCTAACTAAACAAGAGATCCCAAAGGGATCTTGGCACCCACCTTTGTACCATCTTCATTAGTTCTTTGTCAGTTCGATCTTTTCTCTTCTTTCCTCTAATCGGTTTGATCGAGTCATGTTAACAGAAAAGCACCTTGAGGTAACTTTTGATCTAAACTTAATACTGATGTGTATGAAAGCCAACCTTCAAAGTGAGTTTGTCATTTCACATATTTACTAGTACAGTACTAAATGTGAAAGAAATAGAATCGATCATTGCAATATGAGAAAGATCTGTTTAGTTCTTCTTTTAATCCATTTTGTTTTTATGATCAGTCTCAAAATATAACTTACAAAACGAGGGATAAAGGGGAACCTACATTTAAAATTTGAGAAAGAACACTCTGATACTTCCCGAGAAATAGCAATAACAAACTTTCACTATCAGAATCCAAGATGGCTGCCTGTCGGCCATGTTGTTTATCCGATACGTCTCACAAAGTTTCCCTGCACAGCTAAGGGCCAAGGGGAACCTGCATATAAAATTTGAGAAACACCCCTCCCCTACTTCCCGAGAAATAGCAATAACAAACTTTCACTATCAGAATCCAAGATGGCTGCCTGTCGGCCATGTTGTTTATCCGATACGTCTCACAAAGTTTCCCTGCACAGCTAAGGGCCAAGGGGAACCTGCATATAAAATTTGAGAAAGAACACTCTGATACTTCCCGAGAAGTTGCGATAACACACTTTCAATATCAAAATCCAAGATGGTTGCCTGTCGACCATGTTGTTTATCCGATCAGTCTCAAAAGTTGCCCTGCACAGCTAAGGGCCAAGGGGAACCTGCATATAAAATTTGAGAAACATCCCTCTGGTACTTCTTGAGAAATAGCAATAACAAACTTTCACTATCAGAATCCAAGATGGCTGCCTGTCGGCCATGTTGTTTGTCCGATCAGTCTCTCAAATTGCCCTGCACAGCTAAGGACCAAGGGGAACCTGCATATAAAATTTGATAAAGATCCCTCTGGTACTTCTTGAAAAATACCGACAACAAGAATTGTTTACGGACGAACGGTGGATGACGGACCACGGACGCAGAGTGATTTGAATAGCCCACCATCAGATGGCTAAAAAGAGGCCCAATGGGCCCGAATCGCTCACCTGGTATTAATTTTACACTTGTTATCTTAAAAGTGGACTAAAATACAACTACAGGCAGAATATTGGTGTTTGATTAATAAGAACCTATTAAAATATTTAAAGATATGACACCCGTGACCTTGAATGTCGAATAAGGATATTACTTTGAACAGAATTTATAGTCTTCCAACCCAGCATGCTTCTAGCAAAATATCATTACCCTGGACTTTTTGGTTATACAGAACAAATCATTTAATGATTTAAACATATATTGACCACAGTGACCTTGAATATGGGCGAAGGTTATTCATTTGAACAAACTTGGTAACCCTTCATCCCAGCATGTTAATGGCCAAAAGTCATCACCCTAGGCCTCTTGGTTATTCAGAAGTTGTTCAAATGTTTTCAACATATTTGACCCCAGTGACCTTGAATATGATTCAAGGTCATTCATTTGAACAAACTTGGTAGTCCTTTATTCCAGCATGTTATTGGTCAAATATCATTATCCTAGGCCTCTTGGTTATTCAGAAGAAGTTGTTTAAAGGTTTCATACATATTTGACCCTTGTGACCTTGAACATAAGTCAAGGTCATTTATTTGAACAAACTTGGTAGCTTTTCACCCCCGCATGTTACTGGCTAAATATCATCACCCTAGGCCTTTCGGTTATTCAGAAGAAGTTGCTTAAAGATTTTAACATATTTGACCCCTGTGACCTTGAAAATTGATGAAGGTCATTTATTTGAACAAACTTGGTAGCCCTTCATCCGAGCATGCTTTTGGCCAAATATCATCACCCTAGGCCTTTTGGTTACTGAGAAGAGTATTTGATTCTACCATATCTGGGTCTTGAGAAGAAGATTTTTGAAATTTCAGTCAATTCGACCCTTTTTGGCCCCACCCATCAGCCCCTTGGGATCAGTCAGGGCTCATATGTGCTTATTATCAAACTGCTACCTAATACTGATAATGCTAACCCAAATTGAATTACTTCCAATGGAAATTAAACAAATGTTGGTCCAAAATGTGATTTAACCGGCCACTATTTTTGTTGACCTTTGTCCATGGAAGGTCCCTGCAAAATTTCATTGAAATTGGTTCAGGGGTTTTGGACAAGTCGTTGAAAATGTAAATTGTTTACGGACTCACGGACTCATGACGACTTGAGACTTTGTCTCAGGTGACCTAAAAAGTTGACGCCGGATACTGCACCATGCCCTTCGGGCCAGTTAAGCTAAAAAAACTTTCCATTCTGCAAATAATTTCTACCCTGATATTTTCTGTCAAATGAGTCTTGTTGTTTCTCCGGGTTTTACACATTACCTCATCCATATCTGCTTCAGCCTTTTCTATGGTTTCTTCATCATCTGATTCGTCAGCTTCTGGTTCAAACTCATCTGAAAGTCAAAGATTTATCATATTGAGCAGTGTTTTATTTACGCTTGAGACATAAGTAGATTACATTTTCTCCATTTGACTTGATGAAATCTTAAAAATGAATCGATTTTAAATAAAAACGCTCACTACTTTCAAGAACTTAAGAAATATGTGCAAAATCTATACAAGACACTGATACAGAACAGAACAGTGAAAACATCATGTCACCCACTAGCCGATGTTCATGAAACAAGAGGCCCATGGGCCTTAACGGTCACCTGATATATTTATACAGAGAGTTGATTTTGTTTTTAACATGAACAGAAATGTTATTCGGTGACAAAAAACAACAAGAGGCCCATGGGCCTTAACGGTCACCTGATATATTTATACAGAGAGTTGATTTTGTTTTTAACATGAACAGAAATGTTATTCGGTGACAAAAAACAACAAGAGGCCCATGGGCCTTAACGGTCACCTGATATATTTATACAGAGAGTTGATTTTTTTTTTAACATGAACGTAAATGTTATTCGGTGACAAAAAACAACAAGAGGCCCATGGGCCTTAACGGTCACCTGATATATTTATACAGAGAGTTGATTTTTTTTTTAACATGAACGTAAATGTTATTCGGTGACAAAAAACAACAAGAGGCCCATGGGCCTTAACGGTCACCTGATATATTTATACAGAGAGTTGATTTTGCTTTTAACATGAACAGAAATGTTATTCGGTGACAAAAAACAACAAGAGGCCCATGGGCCTTAACGGTCACCTGATATATTTATACAGAGAGTTGATTTTGCTTTTAACATGAACAGAAATGTTATTCGGTGACAAAAAACAACAAGAGGCCCATGGGCCTTAACGGTCACCTGATATATTTATACAGAGAGTTGATTTTGTTTTTAACTTGAACAGAAATATTATTCAAAGTGACAAAAAACAATAAAACCACCTTACTCAATATCTAGCATACAGATTTCAGACTAAAAAGTATTTGAAACTAGCACCTCCGATTCTAAACAAGGCGATAGCAATAGGTCACTTGAGACTTCGTCTCAGGTGACCTAAAAATCTTCTATTCCAGGTGGGAGTCGACAGAAAATCACTCGTATACAATGTCATAAAATGAAAAAAAATCACTTCTATTCCTGGTAGCAATTATTGAAAATAAAAAAATCACTTCTGTGTCCTGTTTTGAGAAAAAGATCACTTCTGTGTCATGTTTTTGAGAAATAGATCGCTTCTGTGCTATGATGCCAGAACATATGTGTTCATGTTTTTCTTTCAAAGTAATCAGGTAATGTACAATATTGTCCGTGTTCCTTTTTGCTGCTGTGAAAGGGAGGCAACTCTAAATCCCGAGATACGAGATGAGATGTTAGATGAGAGTTCGAGCATAGACAAAATGGTGTCGGAGCGACATTGGACTACATGGTCTATGGCTGATGTGGCATTATGGCTACTCCAACAGTGTTAGAGGTTTTACACAGGCGCCGTCAAAATCATATCAGATGAAAAAGGCCGGGTTGGCCCCTATGTTATAGGAGAAGCATTATGGCTAGATCGGAATGATCTAGCTAGTGCCACACCAAAATATATAGGTAAGATTACCTAACATGTCTTCAAGATACATTTTTCACACACAATTCCATAGGCCAAAATCAAATTCATCCATTGGAGTTAGGAGTTGTTTGTTGGCGAATGACAGCAAACTATAATATGCCAGTGCATTACAAAATATCACTTGGTGATCGCTTCATTAAATCCGATTAAAAAATCACTGCTGTGGTTGGTTGTTGATTTTATTGACTTGAAAAAATTGCTTCCATGAGTGGTGTTCTAAAGAAGAAAACACTTTATTCCATCTCGCAATCTGAAAGAAATTGCTTCTGTTGGTCGTACCCTTTTGAAAAAAGGAAAGTTCCCTAGTGGGCGACATTTTAAACTGGAATAGCCCTAAGTGTGTTTAAATGACATGTTTATAATTCTGTTGCTTGTAGCTTTTGTAACAAGAGGCCCAAGGGCCTTAACGGTCACCTGAGTCCTACAGTATTTATTTTTTTTGTTGAAATATGTACCAATTTGAGTACAAAATTGACATATTTGACCCCTGTGACCTTGAAAACAGGTCAAGGTCATTTTCGTTCTCAAACTTTGTAGGGCTCCTACCAACGAAGCTTTCAGCCAAATATCATGACTCTAGGCCTGTCCGTTCTTCAGAAGAAGTTGTTTAAAGGAAAAGTTGACGGACGAGGACTTCGTGCCAGGTGAGCTAATAACTATCAACTACATATGGTAACTTATCAACAGTTTTACCTGACCTTCACACCTATCTGTTCTAAGGAGAGTAAAATTCCGTATATTTCCAAATACTGTCAGAGAAAAATATTTCACGAACTGTCAGTCATCATGTAAAATATGTGGGGATATCCGTCCGTATAATATGCATTTGATGGGGTTAGTCAAAATCACATTCAGGCAAGTTGATGTCTCAAGTCTACTTGCCCTGGCCTGGGCAAGTGCTATTATTCCCCCCCCCCCCCCCCCCCCCCCCCCCCCCAATGATAAGAACTTGCCAACAAAATCACCAAGGTCTGAAAATGTGACCAGTTACGTAGAAAGGCAGACCTAGCATTATCCCAAATAATGATACTTACCATCACCTCCATCACTCGAGTGCTCTGGGGTGGTGACGCAAGACCCTCCGACAGATGATCCTGCTTTGCTGTCTTTCTTCAGACCCTCAGTTAACCAGGTTGAATATTTCTCTGTTTGGTCCACAATAAAATTCAGGTGTAAATCTAAAGCCTTCTTCCTTTTTTCTTCATTCCTTGTCTGCTGTTTGTATTGCACAACCTATAAATCAATAACAGTATGATATAAAGTAGCCCGAAACTCATAACTTCACTATCTTGTCAATATTTCAAGGTTGGGAATCAAACTGAACCTATTTTAATGTCCAAATGTTATGAATTGACAACTGTCTGCCAAATATCTGGGCATTTGTGAGATGACAAAACAAGAGGCCCATGGGCCTAAACAGTCACCCGAGTCCTTCAGTATTTATTTTTGTTGTTGAAATATGTACGAATTTGAGTACAAAATAGTTAAGTATAATGTTAACTTAAGTTTGTCAGGACCATGAGCTGATCATTCCTACAAAGTTTCAGTTCAATCGGCCTATTAGAACTTGTTTTCAAGTTTGAAATAGTTTTTCAAAATGGCGGCCGTGTCGGCCATATTGGATTTCTGATCGACACGAAAAATAACAACACTTTGTCAAGACCATGAGTCGATAATTCCTACCAAGTTTCAGTTCGATCAGCCCAGTAGAACTTGACTTAAAGTTTGAAATAGTTTTTCAAAATGACGGCCAGTGGCCATATTGGATTTCTGATTGACCTGAAAAATAACAACACTTTGTCAGGACCATGAGTCAATCATTCTGCCCAGCAGACCTTGACTTTAGTTTGAAATAGTTTTTTAACAAGAGGCCCAATGGGCCTGCATCGCTCACCTGGTATAAATCTCACACTTGCAACCTTAAAAGTGATCTAAAATAAAGCTACAGGCAAAATATCAGTATTTATGATTAAAGTCATTCAAAAGAACCTGTTAAAAGATTTTAAAACATTTCACCCCTGTTACTTTGAAAGTCGAACAAAGTCATTATGTTGAACAAATTGTATAGCCTTTCATCTCAGTATGCAACTTGCAAAGTATCAACATCCTGGAACCCATAGTTATTCAGAAGAGGTTGTTTAAAGATTTTAAAATAATTTGACCCCTGTGACCTTGAATGTAAGTCAAAGTCATTCACTTTAACAAACATAGTAGTCCTTGATCTGACTAAATATCAACATCCTGAGCCTTTTGGTTATTCAGAACAAGTTGTTTAAATATTTTGAACATATTTGCTCCTTGTGACCTTGAATATGATTCAAGGTCATACATTTAAACAAACTTGATAGCCCTTGATCCTAGTATGCTACTGACTAAATATCATCACCC